TATATATATATATATATATATATATATATATATATATATATATATATATATATATCTTAATATATTTTCAAAAAATTTTTTTTAAAAGTTATTTCATATTGAAATAATTAAGAATATTACTATTAATGAGATGGAACATCGATTAATACAGCGTTATTTTATACTATTTGACTATTTTGATCAAATTAACGATGTAAAAAGATAAAATGAAATCTTTTATATTTTAATAAGATTTAGATATTTAATTTATTTTATATATTTAGTTATTTCAAACATTTAAACCGGAGAATGCTATAAGACTATAAGATTGCACAAAAAGTGTTTCAATAAGAACAACTTGTTTTAAATTTAATATATGTATATCAAAATTCATTTTCATAGTTAACCATCTATAATATAAAAATTGAAAATTATAGGCTTGTCATTAATCGATGACATTGAGTTGATTATCATTGATACACATATATGATTTTATATATAGGAATATGAACTCTGTTATGCAATTAAAAAATATACTGGATAATTGTACTAAATAAAACATAGATACCATTAAAAAAAATAGTTTTAGATTTGTAGAATTATTAAAAATTTTATGAATATTATATAATGCAATGAAGATATGAAACGGCCAAAAAATGTATCAAAACATTATAATAAATTTAAATATATTCCAATTATATTCAACGATGTAAATTATTTTCTGGATATTTTTAATTAATTTTATAGACAACATCAATAACAATTGAAAATGAGGAAAAAATACTTGTAATTTATTGTAATGCAAACTATAACTTAATAATAAATAATCTTAATAATAAGAATAATAAAGAATCTTATTCTTAATATATATTTTCTATTTTATATTGGATATATTAATTTATTTTTTGTGTCTTTTAATGCATAAATTATATATACTTTTTGCATATTAAGTGCAAATAGATCCGCAAACTATTCATTATTATTCTTGATTAGGAAACCGAATACAAATATATGTAAATATTCGAATATTCAGATTTGAATCTGAATATGTAATGTATATTCAGATTTGAGTTTTTCTTTATACTTCCTTAAGTAGGAAGCTTTTTTTAATATAAATTAATGTATATATTCATAGAATATCTTTGGAAGATTGATTTTAGAGACTAAACACAAAAGTTCATATATAAAAGTATTGATTGAAGTTTATTTATTATATTATAAACAATTTAAGTTTTCATTAGATAAGGCAGATAATCTCACTCTATCTCCATCTTATTTTATGTAAATTTAAATTGTTTATAATTTATAATTTAATAAATAAGTTTTAACTGAAATTTGATAACACTTTATTAAAATCGAAACGTATCTTATGAATATATTATCATCACTCTTAATGCAATAATATTTCAATTAATGAATAGTCATTGTCAAAAATAAATTAAGTATATACTAAGTTAAATGAATCTATTCAAATGTTCAGATTTAAATTAAACAAGTATTCCATTTATTTATATCTATTTAAACACAATAGAATATCTATCATATGAATCCAAAATATGCTATTTTGATAATCGAATAACTTTGTTTTTGTAAATTAAAAATCGCTTATTATGAAATATATTATAAAAATTATATTATATTATAGATATTAATAAAACAAATGCAAAATTTTCTTAATTTTCTTTAATATCTATTCTAGTTTTTCAATTTTCTCAACTATGAGTTTGACAATCTCTTTAATATTATTTCATTCTACGTAATTTCTACGTAATTTCTATTTATATTTCAAATTATCTTATTTCGAAAGCAGAAGAATATTTCTGAATATACATACATATATAGAAGTAGAATTCGAATTATTATTAGATTCGTCTTCTATTCTCTATTTTACATTCCATTCCAATTTCATTATCTTTCTATTGTTTTTTATATAGTTTATCCTAATAATATTTAGCTTTTCAAATATAACATACTACTATTATTATTTAAATTCCTACAATTTAATATTTTACATAAAACTATATAATACTCTTACAATTAAATTTATTTCAGATATTATCAATGTTTTCAAATTCTTTATATATTTGATAATAATATTGAATAATAACTTGGAGATTATATAAACAATAAATAGTGAAAAACGAAAGAGAATAAAAATACAAAATAAAATCATATTGAATACATATGTTTCTTCCTTATTTCTTATATTACAATCAATATAATGACAATATCGAAGTTCCGATAATTTAATTTTTTGATATATACATTTAATTATATATAAAAGATATTATATGTTTTTTAGAATTTTTAAAATCTTCAATTATCGAGATTTTATTAGAATCTATTAGGAATAGTCTTTGAAATTGTTTAAAATTATGTGTATCAATTTAAAATATTATGAAACAGTTGGAATTTTCTAAAATTGAATATTTGGAATCTATAAAAATATCTATAAAAAACACACGATGAGATTTTAGAACAAAACTAATATAATTATTGGTTCAGCGATGGTCAAACTACGATATGATTATTATTTGCAAGTGGCGTCCTTCAGAAAAATCCTTTTTGATTCAATTGGGAGGATCATAATTACTCAGTGAAGCGTGCCAATAATCAATAATATCGCTGCCGGCGACACCCACCAAATTCGAGGAAATTCCTCGCTTGAGGAATGGTGATGATCTATACAAAGATTTCACGATAAACCGCGCATCTCTCTTATAGATTCCAGAACAATGTTATTTGTCTTTAAATCAGCGGCGTCTGGAATATGTTATATGAACCATTGAATCGATTCAGTTGGTCTGAAGTACGACCGAAATATACAATTAAGTGTCGGCTAAATTTTTAGACAGTCTTCTCAGATAATACTGTTCTTTATTTAAGCTTAATAGAGGCCTACGCGTGGTAAGAATAAAAAAAGTTTTTTATATGAAAAATTTCTCTAAATAAATTGTTTATAAATCTCACGAATAATAAATGCTCGTGAATACATATGAACACGTGAAATTATTTTATTGTTCTCTTTAATATAATAGTACAATTTTAATTAGCTAATTGAAAATCTGGAATTAATTATTTGTTTTATTAATTAGTGATTATTAATTATTGTTGGTATTCTCTGAAAATTATAAAAATCGAGAATGAATTAAAATTTTTAAAAAATTGTTTTTAATAAATATATTTTTAATAAAACTGTAAATCTGAGTTCAAAAAAAATTATACTATCGTATTAAATTTATTTGGATTATGAAAGAAATTATACAAGATTATACAATTACATTAAACTATAAGTGTATAGTATAAGTATAAATGCATACATAACTTTAATATCACATATAAAAAATCAATTATTGGTTGAAAAATTATGATAAATATAAAAATATATTTTAATAAAATCTTATTTAATATATTGTTGTTTATGATATAATTTAAATAGAAGAATGATTTTTATTGTTAAATAAATTTTAAATCATAACAATAAATCAAAAAATAATAATAATGATGTAATTAAAATATAGTATAAAGATTTGAATACTTATAAATAATATCTTTGTTTATAATTAATTGAAAAGTGAAATTCAACATATTCTTGATTAATTTTTAAAAATTTCGGTACACTGAAATAGTATTTTTTAATTCTGCAATAATATCGAAATTTTTAATTTTCTAATAAGCATATTCCAAATATTTTTTTATTTTAATTTAGAAAATAAATAGTTATTTGAAACTATTAATTCCATTTACTTCATTTGATGATTCTTTTATTGATATGAATTACAATGTGTCTTTCTGAATTGTTCATTCAATCTTATCTTTTTTGAAAAATGATATTTATTTCTAAAATTGTCGTATATTTGATGTTATTCATTCTTTTAAAAATTTGAAAGAAAGTTTTTTAAATTTACCATTTTGCAAAACATTTTATAAAAGATATCCTAATTATTAATTATAATCGCTAAAATATAAATATTTTTTTGAAAAATGTATTGATTTTTTACGAAGATTTCGTCAATAGAAATTACAATTCATTAAGATTAAATTTCTTTTTATCAGAAAATTACCTAAATAACAAAAAAATTATTAAGATAGTTAAGTTATTTTATAAATTTAAGAGATTATAAATTAAAGAAAGATTTTAATATAAAATTGATTTACTTTTTTAAAAATTGTCATTGATATTCTCCTTCAATCTCAATTCATATTTGTTTGTGCATATTCTACTTTGCAATTTTGTATTTTGTTAAAAATAATATGAATATTAAGTTTTGTTCTATCAATAATCGAATCTCGTTTAAGTATTTACATACATATATACGATGCATAGTTCATTGCGATACATCTTTTACGTTCTTTTATAATTTAATTGCTTTTTAAAATTATTGACAGCTCTTTTTGCACAGGTTTTCCCTTTTTATTCTTAGATATAAAGATTACTTAAAAAATAATTTTTTTTAAAAAATAATTTAAAATATTAAAATAGATTGAATCTACGAGAAATTTTTCTAATACTAATTTTTTTCTTGTATATTCTTATATGTTAAAATCTATTTTTTTTTCGTTAATAATATTATAGTTTTAGTTAATTAATGTTAAAACATGTTTAAACATATAATGTCTTGGTTATATGTTTCATGTTAAATTTAATAAAACAAATATGAATTAATAATAATAATAATAATGTTAATATTACATATTATGTAATACATAAAGCTAAAATTGTGAAACAGATGAGAATTATTTTTTTTATTGATATTTTTTCATAAACGATAACATCTTCAGTAAGATTTTATTGAAATTCATTTTATTATGTCCTTTTAGTTCATATAATTGGTTTTTTTTTCAATTTCTATTCAAAATTACATAAATATATAAATGATGTTAAAGTTATACTCTGCATCTTACGTTAAATCTATCTACAAAGTTTATCTACAAAGCGAAAATAAGTAATTCACGAAATAAAAATTAAAGTGTTTCTTAAACTGAAAATTTTTACAAAATATTCGAAAATAAAGATAAATTAAAGATAGATTAAAAGTCTATATTGAAAAAAAATATATATTATATGTTACATTTATATACATATATAGATAATATCTTTTGTAGTTATTTATATACATATGTTGATAATATCTTTTATAGTGAAAATTAAAAATCTATATTAATATTTATTTAATTAATATTTATAATTAATAATATTAATAATATTATAAAATATTAATATTTATTTCTATATTATATTTATTATATTAATTGAATTGATGCATCTGCATGCACGATAATTTATAAAATTGGGATTAAATGGAAATTTTTTTATAGAAATTAAATATTTCACTATCCATTTGGGAGTAAATTGAATTATATTTGTAAGTCTAGGAATGAAAATAGAATGCACTGTTTTTTATTTTTTTATTTATTTTTTTTTATTATGATTGCATTATTATGTTGATATTAATAATTGTATTTATAAAATATAGATTTTTTAGGAATCGATATGTTTTAATGCAATTTTTTAAATACTATCTTATATGTACATGGTATATGTATCGTATAATATATGAATATACATACAATATGTATAATTTATTTGGAAATACAATTCTAGAAATAAATTTCTATTTAACAATTCAAACATAATCTTCATAAATCTTTTTAAAAACATTGCAAAATCAAATATTGGTACCATATGTATTCTTCAATAACTATAAATTTAACCAAATCTTACAACATTTGTTTTAAATATTTTTCCGACTCATATTTTTTGAAATTTATATATGTTTCCAAATAAATCATACAAAATATGATATTTCTAAATTTTAAATAAATCTTATCTTATTTAATTTTCTTATTCCTATAATTACATTTTTTAAATAAATATAATCAATATATTCATTAATTATACTTTTAAATATCTCACTCTATATGATTCTTATTCTTTTTTACTTTCTTCGATTAATATTTTTTTTAACATTCAAAAATTTACTTATCAAATAGATGAAGAAATTTAATTAATATATAAATTCAAATCGAACATTTTCTCTTTTTTCATTCTTATAAATATTTAAGAGAAGAAAATTGAACACGTGATCAAAAGATTTCAATTTGACTTACGTTCTGGTTTTGTTTTGATCTGAAAATATTCTGTTACAAAAGTACGTCGATCCTATTTTATTAATGCGGATATGCTTCTTTTTTTATTATTCTGGAGAAAATAAGAATATTTCCAGATATCTATATATATATATTAAAGTATTGGACAAGAAAGGAAGAACTCGAGAAAAGAACGCAAGACATAATCCAGAACTGATATGATGATAATCATATAAAAAGAAACAGAAGAAATATCGTGCGCATAAATTAAAACGTTAGAAATTTTTATTGTTATATTTCTAGAAATATCGACTTATAAGACAATTTTAACACTATCTATATTGAAAAATATTTAACTATAATAAAAAAGTAAAATATAATGATAAATATAACGATTATTTAAATTTCAGTTTTTTTTTCAGATTTCATTTAGATTTGATATCTTCTATATATTCAAATTATATCAAACATTTAAAAAAATTCATTTACATATATATATATATATAAATGAATTTTTCTATATAATATAATTAATATATATATTCTGGAGGATATAGAATTAATATAAATTTTAAAAAATTATTTAGTCAATTTTATATTTGTAATTATATTGAATAAAATAATAAAAATAAATTTTCTACATATAAAGTTTGTTTTATTAGATTTTTAAAATTCTAAGAAAATTTAAGTAATTTAATAATAGACTGATTTATTAGAATTATGCAAATGCATATTTTTATTAAAAATAGATACAGAAATGAAATCTAAAAAGATAGAAATTTCAAAATGTTTTAATCACGCTATTGCCTAATTTCAAATAAAAGAAGTTTTAAATTCTCTTTACTATATTGCTTTTCTATTAAAAAGAATTGGAGAATTATAAAAGAAATTTCAATAAATAAAAGGAAAAAAGAAAATGTACAAGAAAAATTGAAGTTATTTAAATTAATGATAATAATATCAATAATATATATCAATAAAATCTCATTGTAACATAAAATATTGTACAATTACTTTTTACTTTTTACTTCTTACTTTGTATATTTTGAATATTTTATTATTTACGTAAAGATCCACAATCT